CCTGAACAAAAAGAGTATCCATCGTCACCATGGTAGCCACACTCCCACAATTCATTTTCGTTAGATATTTGTCCTAAGGGATATTATGATTCTAAGGTTAATATATAATATATAAGAGATAGCTATAGATAGATATGAAATTATTTTAAATTTTTTTATACTTTCAACGTAAATTTAATATTTTTATATAAATATAAACAGACATCATATTTGATTTAGTTTAAAATATTTAAATAATTTTCATTATTCGAAAGTCTAATTTTATCAAATTCGACGATTTGTTTACCCCATCTATAGAGACAACATAAAAATCTGTCATTACCAGGCATGAGCATGTTACTTATAGTCTGTTTTCATATTTGAATCGCCCATTTCTTTATCTGTTTGCTTTGTACTGTACAATATCCGACTCCAATCATTCTTCAAGAAATAGAATTAAAATTTATAAAAAAAAAGAGTGCAAGATCAAAGGTGTGTTTATGACATGAAATAATTAACATACCCATTTTTCCCTTGATTGATAATTTTAATCTCAAAGTAAAATATCCCATACTGTGAAGGAATCGGATGATTTGTTCGAATTATAACAGCTTTAGTATCATCTAGACCTTTAATTGAAAAAATTTTTTATTAAATCGAGATATTAATTCAATCTAATATATATGTTTTTATAATATTTCTTTTTCTTACCAGTAAATTTTACTTTCAGTCCACTTGAATCTATGTTTACATATGGCGAATTATTTTCAATATCCCATGCGGTCGGTAAACCGATATCACCATACGAAATTATTGGTCCTAAAAATTCTAAATCTTCCATTGAGTTAAAATTCTTTCAGGTCACTTTTTAGACGATTAGCAAAAAAAGCGTAGAATTATTGTTTTTGTATGTGTGTACAAGTATTTATGTATGTGTTATCGAACACAATGTACTACCATACTCTTTATGTACACATCGGCCTGTTGAATAAAGCCATATCAGTGAAGTATTTGATAAAATAGCTATTCTCAAAAAATAATTTAAACATCTATATAGAGTCAACAACTTACTGATTTTAGCAATAAGTTTGGTTATTTTTGTAATGCTAACCTTTTTTATGGCAGAATTGTTTATGAATACTTTTTTTTCAGTAACTTCTGCTAAGAGCTTAAAATTAATAAATCGTGAATTGAGCGCTTGTCATTGTTTTATACAAGATGCAGTATATTCAAAAGTGAAATTATAAAAATTATATAGTGTATAACTTTTGGTCATGCAGTCGATAATTTTGACAAGAAAATACATTATACTGTATACACATCGAAATAAACTCAAAATACATATTTTGCACAGTAACCATGATTACATATGTAAAATCGGCCATCTTTATTGATATGGAAATAATTACAGTAAAAAAATTCGAGATACATATTAAAACTTATGCTTTTTTTTTTATCCTCCACCTTCACAATTGAGTCTACGTACAATGTGGAGTATAGTTATTTGCTAATAATGCGCAGTTCACAGTATGCTACCAAACCTAATAATTTTCATTAGACATCACTTTCAAAATAATTGTTGATTTAAAAAAAAAAATGCTAATGGCTTTAATTTTGTTTTCATGGTTTGAATGCTTTAGTTTTGCCACTTTTTTAAATGTGAAAGACATACAACAAATATGATCGTCTAGCTATTTTACAAAATCTGTCAAGATGCTTCATGCCATTCATCCAATATTCTTTTCAAGGTTAACATGAAAACCAAAGCCTTAATATTTGGTTCTTAATAACCTTAAATTAATTAAAGTTGAAATTATTGAAAGATTGAATGTCCAATCGGATAAACATAAGCTCAGATTTATCCTTTTGATTTTACATAATGCTGTATCCCACAAAAGTTAACCCAACCTAAAAGACCTCAAAATATCACAAATAAAGTGAATATGAAATATATGAATTCAAAATTTGGACTTTGATATTTATTTTATTGAGAATTAAAATTTTAATTTAAAAAACCTTAATAAAATAGATAATCACTTATACTGTATTATTGTTGTTATATGTTTTAATATTTTGAGAAGTGTTGAAAAATGGAAACAAAAATTTTTATTGCTGTTATTTTGTTGAAAAAATTCTGTTGATTTTTTATCAGTTAGAACCATAATTTGATCCTAGACTCAATTGTTATATATTGAGGATAGTAATTATTTGGTCTTTGGTCCGTTACTGTCCAGTCGTGCACCAAACAAAAAAAAATTCAACGTGTTGAATGATATCGATAACACGTTGAATTTTTAATTTCGACCAGTGTTGGTCTGTAAATTACGATTAGTTGTTTCATGTTTTTAATCAATTTTATTAATTAAATGTATTATTTTATAATAGTTAATTTAATATAGATTAAATAGATAATCATACTCAGCTCAAAAAAGCACAAAATTATTAGCGTACTCAACTCTGCTAGTTGCGTAGATCACCTAAATAAGTTATGGTATATCACTTTTAAACAGAAATTTTTTTTCGAAACTTTCTTCGGTTAAAAATATTAATATTCAAGAATAACTCCCTTAATTCTTTACAATCACTTAAAAAACTACCTATACCACTGCTAAGATAATCTATAGTGTGCTTTTATATATAAAACTTATATATAAGATACTAAATAAACTTGTAATATTTTATTTAATGACTACTAAGAGAAACAAGACAACGGGTCTTAAAGTTTATAATTTGTTGAAATTGAAGCTTGAACAATTCTGACAAATGACATATGTTACATAATTAAATTTAATTACGCACCATATGTCGTTGATTAGATTTTTTTTCCACAGTTAAGTCCGGTAAATTATAAACCTCAAACCTCCGCAGTCTAATTTTCTTTGACAGCACTCATCTGATTCGTTAATTACGAAAAAAATTAAGATACGATACGTAAATTAAACTATGTCTATATCATTATACTTTAACTATAACGACGCATACACAAGATACGATTTGCCGTCTGTTATAGGTAACTTATCCGGCAAACTCATATGATCATGAAAAAATTTGATCATAAATTGCCGGATAACACCAATATTGGGCAAATTGTCGAATACAGTAATTTGGCAAATGATTGGCTAACGTGCCGCAAAGCGGCACGTGCCCATTTGCCAAATTACCGTTATTCGACAATTTTTGCCCAATATTGTATACATAGTGATGGCAGAAAAAATTCGCGATCAGGTGATTTCCGTCGTTCTAAATCTCATAATGCAGCCAGAATATAATATTAACATACGAAAATTTATGAAATTAGACATAGAAATATATTATTAATGCAAGTTTATTGATCATTAGTTGGGTCACAATCATTTGATCGTGAATTTTTTCTGCCAACATTATGTTACCTCGTCAGTTATAACTAAATTTTAATACAGTACGTCCCAATGCTCTAAGTTTCGCCTGCGCCTCTAACTTAGATCATTTAACTTCAGATTCTCGGCGAATTTGGTGGGTTGTAATGTTTGTTATAGTTTTATCCGAACTATCACTAAGTCCTCAATTATTATTCTTTGCAAAAATTTCATATATATAGTACACGTTATTATAGATCATAAACAAAAAAGTATGTGTATCATTCCAAGAAAATATTGTGTAATAATATGCACTAAAGATGTGTAATGAGTGAATTAATTGTAAATGACATCAGATGCTGGAGAACATAAGGAATTAAAATAACATATTTATATATTTATCAGTTATATACTTGCAGCATTGATGTAATTTGAAGTTTTAAAATTGTTGATCGGCTTTAGAGCTCCTTGAAATTTGTGCAAATTTCTTATGATCTCGTGCTTGCTTGGTAACAATTTGAGCTTTAAACAATTTACATTAATATATAATGGCAAATCGCTGATTTACATTATACACATATTTTCTTCGTTGATTGGGATGATTTCGATGCCAAATTTCACTCCAAAAAGTATTATCATACAATACCTATATCTAGAAACAACGGCTGATTATGTTCCGTTTATCTCTTTGTGTTGTTATGAAGTAAAAATACAATAAATTCGGTTAGACAATGACGACTTGTAAAATGATTATAATGGATAATTAAATAACCGGTAGAGATTGTAATTTTTCTAATAGTTTAACCGTGTTAACCGTTTAATTAAGAAAATTTTGCAACATAATTCGACTTGAAACTATGAACCGTGGTTAAACGGTTTCAATCTTTAATAACCGGATAATCCGTATAATTAAGATTCTGATTATTCCGTTTGTTTGTACAGAAAATTGATTCCATCACCATTCACTCTTCATTATGGTATCATCTCGTTTCACCTTTTCTGGTAATAATATATCGTGACATGTTTGTCGCTAATTGAGTTTGGTTTAGATTAGAATATGTGTTTTTAAGCATAAAAACATTGTTGGAACATAAATATCCAGATAATTGTTTCAGATTAACCAAAGTCTTTACGAGTTTAGTAGTAGAATACTTATCTTTAAGTCGACACTAACTTTAATGTATATTTAAAAGGAGTTTTTATTACTATTTTCTATTAGTGAATCATTGCATTTTCGGGAAGTACTCTAAAGCAATGTTGTCATCCGGACAACTGGGATAACATTCGGACAGAATTTGACACCGAATATCGCAAAATTTTATAAAATTGTTAAAGTTCATCAGAATTAACGTTAACTTTGCATTTTTAAGGATGTGTGACATTCCTCCAGATGGTCTAAAAAGGCTAGTTAAACTAAAATTGTAGAATAAGTACCCGATCAATTGAATCAAGTCAACCAATCAAAATGTCAGACTATAAAAGATAAATTGGGATCATTGTCTGAATTCGATAAAATAATTTTTGACACTCTTTACCGTTAACGTCAAAATTTTAATAATTTATTTTACATGAAGCTTACCTGCGTATGTAAATTAGGAAATGATTTCTAAACTTTAAATCCATTTATGATTAACTAAACACTAACAAAATTTAAATACATAGCCTACTTTATTATTGAAAAAAATCATGACGCAGACGGATAATAACAGTCAAATTATTAAAACACCTTTAGTTGTAGACAATTCAGCTAATGAGTCGATAGCTGATGATAGTACTATAAATATATCTGTTACTGGTACTCGTTATCCAGTTATTGTTTTATTAGGACACACTAGTAAGAATTAAATAAAATTTGGAAATTTACAATTTTAAAGTTAGTTTATCATCTCATACTTTTTTATTTTCACAAAGGTTCTGGAAAAAGTACTCTTGGAAATTGGCTATTAGGAAATCATGGTTATGGAGGTCCATTCGAAAATGATAGTTCTTCTGTATGAATTTTATTTCATTTTTTATTTTATAATGTCGAGCCGTAATCATTATATAATATATACTTAAATTTTAAATTATACAATTATTTAACAAGGGACCTGGACCTGTTACCACACAATGTCAGCCCGCTTCAATAAAAATCAATGATCGTATTTTCGATCTTATCGATACCCCAGGAGTATTTGATACAGATGCCGATATTAGGAGTGAAGAAACATTAGAAAAGATTGCTGATCTAATTTATCATTGTTCATATGGAGTCCAAGCTATTATTTTCGTTGTTGGTAAGGTATTTTTGGTTGTTTTTTTTTGAAACGTTTTAGAACGATTGTTAATTTTAATTTTTCTATTTATGATAATAATTTAAGATATAACTCAACGCCAACCTTTTAAAAACACCATGAAAATAATCCAAGGTTTCCTTGGAGAAGCAGCTCTTGATCATATGATCGTAGCATTCACTCATACTACGAAAGACCAAACCGAACGTGACCAAATATTAAACCTGACACGAGAAATGAAAGAACTTCTGTCTTCTGTTAATAATCGATGGTTTATCTCACCTAACCCTGATATATTCAGGGAAGATAGTGATGTGGTGATTAAGAATATGGTGAAAGCTAAACTAATGATTGATGAATTTCAAAGTGCATACACTACGGCCACATTTAATAAAGTTAGGGATGCAGAAGATAAAAGAGCGGAAGCTCTCAGGGTGGCAAGATACAGTTGCTTCAAGCTTGATACTAAAGTCTTACTTGAAAATAAAAAGGTGGTTCCGATGTCTTCGGTTCGTGTTGGAGATCGAGTGTGCTGTGGTGCAATTAATGGAAAACTTAAGTTCTCAGAAGTTTACCTTATTGCACATTACAATTCTGAAAGCATGACCGAATTTTTAAAAGTCGAATTTACAACTCCTGATGGAATTAAAAGTAAATTAATATCTTGCCATTTGCTACAAATCTAAACATAATTGATAATGTACACTTATTTAATATTTATTTTATATGAATAGGTTCACTTCTCTTAACACCAGAGCATCATATATTCATTAATAATAACTTTGATTATGCTAAGAACATATGCCCCTACTCATCCAAAATTCAAGTTCTTATTGGTACACAATTAGTTCAAGTTCAGGTTGAAAATGTTTCTACGGTAAATAATCAAAATTTTAATATCATAATTATTGTTTAGTAGCTTAAACGCTTTTTTATTTTTATTTAAATAGGAATATCACAAAGGATATATTGCAATTTTTACAAGAGCTGGTACTATTATGGCAGATAATATTCTTTGCTCCTGCTACGCCATGTGTCCACCATATCAAAATGTTATCCATTCTTTGTTATACCCACTTCAAATTTTCTCGGTATTTAAAAAGCTTACAAATTATGAAGAAGGAAAAATTCACCCGTATCTTGAATTCTTAAAGAATAGATATGAAAATATAAATGGTCTTTTTAGTAAGACTAGGTTATTGATTAAATAATTGAATTGTTGATATAGCAGTGGTAGTTTACACTATGATTCCTCAGAATATATAAAAAGGTATGCAAGCTATCAGCTGTATTTATTATAATCTTAGGACTTTCTGATACATACAATTGATCTTTTTAATATACACGTAGTAAAGTAAAGTATAGTAAGATTAATTATTATAATGTATATCCTACAATATATTTATATAAATAAATAATGCAGTATTAAAATGTTATAAACTAAATTTTTAATTTTTCAAATACGTAGTATTATTGGCTCTATCGTTATATGCAAAGTTCTTTAATTAATTTTAGAACACAAAAAAAGAACGTACAAAAATTGATATGGCAGTAATTACGCGACTGTATTATATAGATCTCAACTTTTACTTACAAGTTATGTTATAATAATTCCTCCCTGATTTTAGATAGATGTATGAATCAATAGCTTTATCTAAAATTTTGTGAAAGCCAATAATAAATCTCTAAAAAAAAAAAAACAATAAAGCAATAAAGTCATTTTATAAATTTTTATATAAAAAAAAAAAAAAAAAGTCAAGAAAGCGACTGAATTAAATTCTCCTTTAAATCCTAAAAAAATTTTTTTGTTTTCATGTTTAAATTAAAAAAATGGCACGATAAAAGAATTGGCCCTATAGTTGTTAGGTTAAGCCTGTTTCGTGTTGACGAAACGTGAATTTAGTTTCATTTTTCGTCAATCAAACCTTAATGATGAAACTAACGACACTGATTCAACTGACGAAAGATGCTATAGTCAAAATGTTCAATGCATGTTTTTCTTTGGTGACACTCAAATAATTGATTAAACTGTATATTTTTATATAAACTGTATTACGGCTGCTATTAATAAATATCTTACATTCTATAATACGTATATGTATAACTCAGTCTTTTTAGATTTCGCCTATTTGCTGGGGGTTTTGATTTTTACCATGGTTTTGGAAGGTTCACCCTTTCGTATTGTCGGATTTTAGGTTGCGCCTTTCGTTGAGTTTTGTCAATGTTTCGTCTTTTGCTAGTTTTATTTCAAAATAATATTTTTTGCTAATTGTTATAATAATTTATTTGAACAAAAGAAACGTTGGTTTTAATTACACATTATATGTTTTTAAATCAAACCATATATAACGGTACACATCATGAAATTTAAGATTTTAATTTATTTGTTTAGCCTACTAATTACGCACAGCATTTTATATTTCGTCTTTTATTAAAATTGACTTTCTTTAGAGGGTTTCTCTTTCGCAAAGGTTTCATCAGAATTTCGTTTTCGTGGGAGGTTTCATCTCTCGTATGAATTTCGTCATTCTTATCAAAGATTTCGTCTTCGTCATCTTATAAAAACAACAAGAATTATTAGATTATATTGTAGTATAAAGATTACAGTATATAGTATCTGCACACCCCAATGTCACATGTTCGATCCAATACTTTCGTATTGAGCACAATTGAAATTTATTTTCATAAAATTCGAATCAATCAAGATCCAATTATTAAATTTAGATTTATGACGCAATCAACCATTATAAAAAAGTATTTTATTTTACAAAGTGATATAAAATATCAGTTACATTATAAGCAAGCTCAAAAGCAAGTTAAAACAAGTTCATAACTAAACAAATTTCAGGAATTATTATATTTATCAAAAAGTTCACAAATTTATTATTCGAGATGTAGCTTTCTCAAAACCACCGTAAATATTATTAGCTTCTTTATATCTATTATATATAAAACCGAGATACGGATGAATTTCTTCTCCTGTATGCGTAGACTTTCTAAATCGTGTTGAAAATCTTAATGGAGCAAGTAATGTATGAATGGTATCTTGATATGGAGCACAAGTGGAGTAGCATGAACACAATACATTGTCTGCTACTATAGTACCAGATCGTGTTAATAAAGAAATATAACCTTTGTGAATTTCCTTTTGGTTTAAAAGAAAACGAAAGTTAGAGAGAAATTAAACAAATTAAATAGAATTATAGTAGTAATTTAAATAACTTACTGTAGAAACGTTTGCTACACGAACACGAACCATTTCTGTGCGATTTAGAATGTGAAGTTTAGTAGAATATGGTTGTACATTCTTTGCATAATTAAAGTAATTATTGTTTGTGAGTATGTGGTGATCGGGGGTGAGTAGAATGGATTCTAAAATAAAAATATTATTTAATTTTAATATTTTACAACTTAAAAAAAAAAAGAAAAAAAAATTTTGTATTCTTATTGATATTCTACCGGTTAACCCCGTAGGGGTGGTAAATTCAATCTTTTGATATTCAGCTTCAGCCTCAAGATTACAATGAGCATTCAGATAAACTTCTGAAAATTCTAATGCACCATTTTTTGCCCCTACACAAATTCTATCACCGACATTGATCGAAGACATAGGGACAATTTTTCCATTTTCAAGTATAACTTTAGTGTCAGGTTTAAAGCAACTATTAGTAGCCTTTTGCTTTTGATATGTAACCTGTTGACCAATATCTTTATCAAATCCAAAATGTGTACTTTTTCTTTCTCCTAAAATAATAAGCATTTTTTACGGATGTTCAGACTTATCTTTTATTTTTATTTTTTATTAATACACATTAACGTACAAGTAATAAGTACCAGTTTCGTCCACCATAAAAATCGTTGGATATTTGTTATTCTTTATATTGGCGGCAAGAGCTGCTAATGTTTTTTCATCATAAGACGAAGATTCTAAGCATTTTGTGACATCGGATTCTTTTGATGTATACATCGTTAAATCGTTCAACAAATATTAATGGTCTTTATTGACTGCCACAGACTACTACAAATTATTACAAGCTACCACAATTGCTATAATATTCTATAAAATTCCTGCGTATTCTCGATTTCAATAAAAAGAAAAGAATAAAGATGAAAAGAATATATATATATATATATATATATATATATTTAATGTTTGCCAGTAACAAATAGCGCCAAAACGTTCTGCAAGGAATCGGCAGATTAAAATTTTGTACAATCTTATGTACGTATTTGTGTAAGTCAGTTACTTACGGCTGGATCAGCCTAACCACATTTGAAAAACTGATACAATTGATACAATAAAAATTTAAACTAAAAAAATATATACTGTATATCTGATGTTTTAATATGTACGTATACAGTACGTACATGAGTAGATCTATTAAAGATAACTAGAATAAGTTGAGGTTTAGAATTATGGAATTTAACGATAAAAAATAATTTCTTTACATGATAAAATATTGGTTGTTATTATTGCTATATAGAATAGTATGGCGGTGTGTTTTCTAATTACAAAAATTTAGAATGGTTAAGCAATGCACTTTTCTAATTCTCTAATAAAAAGATTTATTTCTTTATCGATAATCCATATGCATTATCTAGTCATGCTGACGTACAATGCACAATAGAAGTTGTTATATGAATTAGCCAGGGCAAAGTACTGGTCATCTGACCAGATGTCAGCGCCAATATACTGTATATATATAAAACAATTAAGCTGCCTAACTTAATTTTTCGTACGTACAGTATTGACAAGCACCAAATATCTGGTCAGATAACCGGCACTTTGGGGTTAGAATTTATAAATCTGATAAAATTTTAACCAAATTTAATTTGGTTAATGCTAAATATTTCCATTTGAACATCTCTATACATTCATGATACCATCATTGCTGTAATAAAACGGACTATATCGCTATGCTAGAAACATTTGACAGTAACTTACTGTATAATGAACGGTAGACTTCATGTATATTATCACACCTTGTCGAAGAGACGTCTACTATAGTATTAAGCTCCTTAGTGGGTTGGGTCACGTTTTTTGAATGGCTTTCTCGTAATATTAACGTCTACACTGACCTTTCGTCGCTCTTAAATTTTACTTTATAACTAAGAATCAGGGCAATACCTTCTCAATCCTATCACCCAAGCATGATTTTAATAATGGCCGTGAAAATTGTAAGATATCAAGCGATTACGACTTATTGGTGAAACTCGTACAGCGACCTCCCCAAAATTTTCCGCACTCCGCTAATACTCAAATTTTTGTAATTATGTTATGATGATGCTTGTTAATTAAATAAAATTCGATTAATATTTGAATTGTAATAAGAAAAATTTATTGTTATTCAAGTTTACAATGCCAAATTGCTGGCATTGTAAACTTGAATAACAATAAATTTTTCTTATTACAATTCAAATATCAATCGAATTTTATTTAATTAATAAGCATCATCAAAAAAATCAATAACGTAATTACAAAAAATCGGAGTATTAGCGGAGT